AACTCAGGAGCTAAGTTTGGGATTCGGTTCAGTCAGACGGTTCATCCGGAAGTGAGGCTCAGTTAAGATTGGTCCAGGACAGGCAGCCACATACCCTCTCCGTGCCTCCATTTCCTCACTTACCGCAACAAGAGTCATGTGAGCCTACCTCATGCGACTGTCCCCACAAAGCCTGACCCTTCACTGGGTGACCTTAGGCCTCTGAGAGGATTCAATTCTGTGCTTCAGGTTATTGGGAAGGCCTAGCTAGGAGTCCACAGTGAGGAACTCAAGGTATTGCCTGGGAGGTGGGGGAAATGGTGTAAGATCATGTGGGCACTGACACTTGGGCTTTGAAGGATACATGGGACAGAGATCTAGTACACCATGAAGTAGGCAGAAAGCAGATAGCTAAGAACTGAGACATGGAGGTGTGGTGTGCATGGGGCTGGGACACAGGTGACACTGAAATCTGCCCGCAGGAACTACTTCATTGTGATGGTCCCACTTCGGAAGTCTCGAGGTGGCCAGTTCCCTGTCCTGCTAGGTAGTCCTGAGGACATGGATCTGGAGGAGGTGAGGCCACATCCATCCCCATAGGGCCTGCACACTGTCAGACTGGGATGCCCATGTCCCCCAGGAGCTCTGAGCCCTTGTGACACTTTTTCTGCAGCTTATCCAAGACATTTCCCGGCTCCAGAGGCGCAGCCTGCGCCACTCAAGACAGCTGGAGGTACCTCGGCCCTACATTGCTGCTCGATTCTCCATCCTGCCAGCTGTCTTCCATCCTGGGAACCAGAAGCAATATGGTGGCTTTGACAACAGGGGCTTGGAGCCAGGCCACCGCTATGTCCTCTTTGTGCTTGCTGTACTGCAGAAGAATGAGCCTGTAAGTCCTCGGCAGTGTCCACCCACATCGCAGCTAGGCTTCTTTACCATCCTGGAAATAGGTATAGAAATGGAGGCACAGAGGTCACCTGGTGGTTTGCTCTAGTCATCCTGCTAGGCTAATGGGTGTGTGGACCTCTCTTTAAGGTTGACCCAAATTGATCCCCAAAGCCAAGCGTAGACTTTGTGAGCTCACAGGTGGCCAGGCCTGGACAGAGAGACCGACTGGACACAGGGCGGGGGTGGGGGTCCCAAGGGTTCATCCTTTAGAGGAAAGGACCTTATCTGCGGCTGTGAAGGATGAGAAGGAGCTCAAAAAAAAAAGGTGTCCCGTCCTTCCTGTGCTCCAGAGGAGAGAATCCTTGAGGGTGGTGGCGGTGGAGAGCATAGAGAGGTAGACGCACTAGGCCAGCTAGGGGTCTGGATGTAGCCAGCACTGACGACGGCCCATCCCCTGCCTCTGTCCTGCAGACCTTTGCAGCCAGTCCCTTCTCAGACCCCTTCCAGCTGGACAACCCAGACCCCCAGCCCATGGTGGACGGTGAGGAAGGCCTGGTCTGGGTGATCGGGCCTGTGCTGGCCGTGCTCTTCATCATCTGCATTGTGATCGCCATCCTACTGTACAAGAAGTGAGCGAGCCCCGAGGGCGGGCGGCTGGGCAGGCGCTGGGCGAGGGGCTGCGCTTGACCATGAGGTGTGAGGGGTCGTCCACCTGGACCGGAGAAAGCAGGAGGGAACCTCCTCGGAGTGGGGTCCAGATGTGAAGGGCAAACACCAACTGACAGAAACTGGGGGTCAGCAGGGTTGGGACGCCACAGTAGTCACAGACGGGGCTCTGTCTGACTGGCACAATCTCACTTGACATTCTCTCCTTCTCTCACCTGCATCCGGTCTGGGGACAGCAAACCTGACAGGTAAGGACTGGCATGAGGCAGGAGGATGACAGGTAGTTGGAGCTGGGCACGGGATGTGGCTACTTCAATTCTCCAGGTGGCACACATGTCTATGTAAGGGCCCGGGATTAAGACTCAGTATGAGATTGGAATTTAGGTGAAATTGAGGCTCAGTCAGCTTGGAGCTTAATTAATCTGGGTCTTGGATTGTGGCCCAGTCTAGAATTGAAGCTTAGTCTATAGAATGAAGGATCTGTCTGGATTTGGGCTCAGCTAAGGCCGAGGACCCGACCTGAAGTTGATGTTAGTCTAGGATCCAATATTGAGGCTCCATAAAATTAGGGTTCAGTGTATAAATGGCCCATTCCCTACCTCGTGTTTGTAGGCCCTGGGCCATGTGTCCCTGAGTGTGTACACATACACTTCAGGCATGTGCTGACATTGGCTCTCTGTCCTTGAAGCAAACGCAAGGACTCAGAGCCCCGCACCAAGTGCTTACTGAACAACGCCGACCTCGCGCCCCATCACCCCAAGGACCCTGTGGAAATGCGACGCATCAACTTCCAGACGCCAGGTATGTGCTAACCGTGGGGCCAGACGCAGCTTGGGGTGGGGTGCTGTATAGGGTCTCCTGCACCCCATAAATGAGCTGAGCCCTGATCACTAAAGCAGCAGGTTGTGTGGCTGCTGCCTTCTCCAAGAACTTAAAAAGTCAAAACAAAATGGTTCAGGCAGAAAGGAAGGGGTTTCATAACACAGCCCCTAATCTCAGTGTCTCCATCCCTCACCCCATGGGGTTCACCCTGGCTGGTGTTTTCACACTGGCCTTGGGATCTGTCTGTGCCCAGTCCCTACCCATCACTCACTGGGGCTTGTTGTATCTTCACTAGGAAGGTTCCCCAAACTCCCCGTCCTCACCATGGGCTCCAGCTGCTTCTCACCGAGTAGCAGGCTTCATGTGTAACTGAAGGCGGTGCCTGTGGGGTTCCGCAGTTTCTCTTCTCCCTCATCTCTGGTCAGCCAAATTTTCACCCTGTGGGGACTCTGTAACCTGTGGGTTTAACTCCTGGTGCCATCCTGAGAACTGCAACCTCACAAGCACTAACCACTTTCCCGCTCAAGCAGGTTCATTCACGACTTGGCCATCAGCTTGCCTTTAACTGATAGCTGCTACCTTGCAAAGGGCTGTGCCTCCCAGCACCCTTTGCTTTTTCACCTGCGTGTGTGGCTGTCGTTCTCCTCAAAGACAATGGGCTATTTGTTTTTATCTGATGGCCACCGACCTGCAGTGCACTCTGGGACTTCTATGTCATCTCTGCTGTGTGCTCATGATTTATTCCACCCCCTTGGATTGCTCATATGATCACACACACACACAGCTCTCATGTGCATCACACACACACACAGCTCTCATGTGCATCACACACACACAGCTCTCATGTGTATCACACACAGCTCTCATGTGCATCACACACACACACAGCTCTCATGTGCATCACACACAGCTCTCATGTGCATCACACACACAGCTCTCATGTGCATCACACACACACACACAGCTCTCATGTGCATCACACACACACACAGCTCTCA